TCATTTATTTATTTATTTATTTATTTATTTATTTATTTATTTATGGTTTTTCGGGACAAGGTTTTCTCTGTGTGGCCCTGACTGTCCTGGAACTCACTCTGTGGACCGTGCTGGCCTCAAACTCAGAGATCCACCTGCTTTTTCCTCCTCTGTGCTGGAGTTAAGGGCATGTGAAACCACCACCTGGTTTAAAATGACTTTTTAAAGAAAGTGTCGGGGGTACCGTTTTAGATCTGTGTGTGAGGCCGGAAGCACAGAGAATAAGGAAAGTCTTTGGATTCTTAAGGCTAAAACTAGAAAAGCCATGTAAGAGAGTGTAGTTTTAAATAATACCAGAAACCCCAAAGAAAGCCCTTGGAATTGAAGGGGACGCTAGCTGGGTGGAATGTATGATCACTCAGTAAGTTAGCTTTGTGTGCTGAACCAGTTCATGCTGAATTCAGTGATTCAGTGTCTAAGTGGGTCATGTATGCTCCACATTTTTGTCACATGATAATAAACTTTTAGGTGCTAGGTAGGCTGACTTAGCCTCTGTTGTCTTCACAAGCCAGTAGTGAAGGTCAGGTTACCATCCTGTGGATCATACAAAAGACAGAGCTGTTGAATACTGGTTTAGCGATAATGGAAGTTGGTGATTTCCAGGGAGTCTTATTTGCTGCAAGAAGTCCAGGTAGCTTAACTAGTTTGGGTATAGAATATTTAGGAATCCCGTCCCCTTTTGATTTAAAGTCACCCACCAGTGACTTTCTTTCTGTTCTTTGAGACAGTGTTTTCCTATGTACCCCAGGCTATTCTTAAAACTAATTCGTAGCTCAGGCTATTCCTAAACTGCTCCTTTGCACCCTCATTAAGAAGCAGCCAAGTAAAAGGTAAGTTGCTGTGTTTTGCTCCCAGAGGGAGCTGTTGTAGTGAGGCAGGTTAAAATGGAATCCAGTTAATTTTTCAGGTATTTCTTAGGAAGAATGACTTAAAGCTGTCAGTTCAGCAACCAGAACAGTGCAGATTAGAGGTAAATACTTGTAACTGCAACCATTGAATGAGGTGCAAGTTGTTTCACTTTCGGTCAAGAACCCCTAAAAGTGTGTGTTTGTGTGTGTGTGTGTTTATGGTTTGGGACTGGGGCTGAGCAGATAACACTGTTCTTGAAGAGGACTCAGGTTCAGTTCACAGCACCTACGTGGTGGCTCGCACCATCCATAGGCATGACATGTGCCATTCATACATGAAGGCAAAACGCTCATATACATAAGCCTTTGAAAAGTGTATGTGGTTTGTATATTTGGGTGGGTGTGTAATTTTTATAAAGCCTTGATTTTCACCTAATAAAGGGTGCTCATTAGCTGTTTTCTTTACCTTTCCAAGAACTCTAGTGGTGATTATGTACCTGACTACAGCAGCCCTTAATTACTTGTGTTTTAGCAGGGGTGTTTATTTGTTAACTTTGAGATCGCTTTTTATTTCATGTGCATGGGTGTTTGACTGTACCATTTGTGTGCACTGCCTTTGGAGGCCAGGAAAGACATCAGATCTTCTGCATCAGAAGGCAGTTGTGAGCCACTATGTGGGTGCTGGGAACTGAACTGGATACCCCTGCGAGTAGCAGCCAGTGCTTTTCGCCACTGAACCATCTCTCCAGCTCCAGCAGTAGTGTTTAACTGTGGTCTTGGGTTGTTATTAATCATAGCTTACATGACCTAAATTATAGAGCATCTGTAATTTTTACAGATGACTTAAACTCATAGAAGGTTGTTTTCCAGGGTGAGGCTCATCCATTGAACTCCAGGTATGCTGACCCCTGTGAGTTCCCCAACTCACTGTGTAATTTGTGGTAGCAGAGGACTGCATTCATGTTCTCCCCTTTTAACACAAACAAATGGAATCCATAGGAAATGTGTGTTAAGTGGAGCACTGTTTTCTCTTACCTATTAGACACCCAGGTTCCAGTGGTTCCATATTGGCGCCTGCCTGGCTTGGGCATTATTGTCTACCTGCTGAAACAGAGTGCCAGTGATTTCTTCAGCTATTATGACAGCCACCGACGCAGTCTCAACAAGCTACAGAATGTAGAGCAACTTCCCCCAGATGAGATAAAAGAGGTATGAACCTTGTAATGAGCTGTGGGACTTGAAGTCGTTGCTTTACCAACAAGGGCCCGGTATGAGGCTTGGGCTCGGGAGTAAAGAAGATAGACTCAGTGCTACTAAAGGATCTGCACTTACTTTCCTTTGTATGCACCTCAGAAGCATGGACCTCTTGATTTCAGAACCAGCCAAGTATCTCCTTCTTAAGAAAATGGGAGGGTGGCTGCCCCTGTAAAGAGCTTCCAATAATCTCTTCAAAGCTGCAGAGAAATGGGGCTTCCTATTGCAGATGTTTTTGCAGTAGAACTTGGTCTGTTCAGCATCTTCATGTTGTACTGAGTTTCCATGTCAGTCCTGATCACTTCATGTCTGCACATATCCACCATTCTACTTTCTCCTGAAGCTAACTGACAATCCATGCCAGTCTTTTTATCTACTGCTTTGAAAGGGCTGTTTGTTTTCATCTAATAGGACACTAAGGGCTGGTGGGACACTTGTGGGTTGGCAGTGTCTGTCTGTCAAACAGATTTTCAAAGACAGCAGGTAAACATTCGTGTGGGAATTGACTGCTTCTTTAACTCTCAGTTTTTGGATGATAAACTTATCCACAAAGCTATATAAATACATTTAAGTGTTTTCACAGTTCTTACTATAATGACCTGTTCATAGTATATTATTTTGTTTAAGTTGTTACAGTTTATACTCTTCCTTTTACTTAGTTGTGCCAGTCTGTGATGCCCGCTGGTGTTGATAAAATCTCTACTGCACAGAAGTGTGCCTTAGCGAGACGGCGTCTGGTGAAACTGATCAATAATCGAGCCAAGCTGCTGTCCCTCTGTTCCTGTATCCTTCTGCAACCACAGCCCAGAGTGCAAACCTTAAAGTGTGGCAGTGCTTCCTTTGAGTTACCAAAACTATTTTGGAAAGGACATAATTATTGTTTTGTGGCCTGTCTTTTTTGCCCAGTGAACACCTGAGGTAGTTTCATATTGTTAATTTTATTCTTACTTTCTAGAGTGCTATAAATCTGCAGATGCTTTCTGTGTGGCAAGAGGCTGCTGGCACAGTAGCCTGTGGGCCTCGCCTGCCATAGTTCACATTGGAGCTCTTTCTGGACCATGTTCAGTGGAACTTCATCCCTGTCTATGAGAGCATTCATGGTGCATAATCAAGCACAGGCTCTTCTTCCCTCCCCCTTGGAAACTGGTTTGTAAAATGCACGTGATGACATTCTTCCTTAATCTGACTCCAGTTATCATAGAGACCTGCCTGTTTATTCTTTGGCGCCATCTGGAGTACTACTTGTTACACTGCACTCCAACAGATTCCCAAGACTCGTTGTTTGCCTCTAGGACTTTATTTAAAAGCAGAAGACTACAAGGTAAGCTGCTCTCAAAAGAAATGAGCCAGGAATGCATCTACAGTTTTCAACCCTGAAAAGCCAGTACTTCTTTCCATTTTCGTTTGTTTGTTTGCAGCGAGGTCTTGTTTTATTTCCCAGACAGGCCCTGAAATCCAGGGCTCAGTTGATCCAGACTCCTGAGTAACTAGACTGTGGATGCACACCACTAACTACTCCAAGTGACCTTAAGTTTTATGTGTTTCAGAGCACTTGGAATCGGGGGCTGGAGAGCTAAATAATCAACACAACTGTTTTTGTGTTTTTATTTTTTGCCCTTGGGAAATTATTCTGGAGCATAATGGCTCTGGGATGGATGAACACGCATTAGACTCCTAAAGGAAGGCTGACCTGTCCTGGACTGGGATGTGCGTGCCAGGCGTCCAGTGCTCAAAGCTGAGCCATGTCCCACTGCTGGCGGGTGCCTCTGCTGTGCAGTAGACGCATGCTTGCCGAGCTCCTCACTCTGCCTCTCCTCTCCAGATTCCTTTTCCTCAGAACCCAACCTGGACTTCAGAAGTGGGCTGGCTTCAGTGAGCCAACATGATATAGACCAGGTAAGGTTCTGACCTCATATACTTTTCTCTGTAAAAGGGAAACCTAGTTTGTTGATAAAAATAGAAAATAAAAGTTTCTTTTTATTCCCTAAAGACACTTACTCTTTTTTTGTTTTAAAGAATTCTTTATGTGTGTATGAAAGTGTCTGGGTGTATGTATGTGCACCATGTGCATGCCTGGTACCCTAGTAGGCCAGAAGAAGGCTTCAGATCCTCTGGAACTGGAGTTAGAGGAGGTGACTGTGAGCTACCTGGTATGGGTGCTGGAAATTGAGCCTTGTTTTTCAGTAAATGTAGCAAGTGCTCTTAACAGCTTACCCATCACTAGCCTGGCACTTGCTCAACAACTTAAAATACTCATTTTACTTGTGGGTGTCTTGTTTGCACGTGTGTCTGTGTACCATGTGTGCCTCTGATGCCCACAGAGGTTATAAAAGGGCATCAAGTCTCCTAGAACTGAAATTACAGATGGTTGTGAGCTGCCATGCTGGTGCTGGGGAATTGAACTTAGGTCCTCTGGAAGAGCAGCCAGTGAATGCTCCTGACCATTGAGCATCTCTCTAGTCCCTTAATAACTTGGTATGACTTTTAGGAGCTATTTTTTATATGTCTGTTAGTTTATCAGCATCAACAATCGTTGCTATTTAAGATATACCTTTAATTTATATATATTTGTACAGGAATAAAAACCACAAAAACATTCTAAGATAGAAATGTAAATTTTTAATTAATTTGGTACCCCATTACAAAAATCTGATAGTGTTTTACATTAGGGAAGTGCCCTTTGTGAATTTATGTGTAGGTGAGGTGGGCATCCTTGCACATGCTAGTCTGCCCCTGAAGTATACGCCCACCTTTTTTTATATACGAAAGACCACATTAGAGTAGGATGTCAGTGTTTTAAGTGGAAAGACACAGAATGATATACCAGAGAAAGCAATGTAATAATAAAAGGTGTCTGTATTACCTCCAGCTTCAGTCTGATGCCATCAATGCTTTTGGAGAATCACTACAAAAGAAGCTGCTGGACATTGAAGGGTTATATTCCAAAGTTCGCTCCCGCTACAGTTTCATCCAGGCCCTTGTCAGACGCATCCGTGGCCTGCTGAGGATATCGAGGAGTTGAGAGCCATGCCTTTGCTCTTCTGTGGAAGAGATGAACTGAGGAAAACCATCTCCTTTTTATAGATGACTTTATTTCTAAATTATGACCAAAAGATATTTTGCTATTTCTTTCTTGATATATGGACATCTTTTCTGTAAACCTCTGCCTTATTTCATCCTCACTTGTGAACAATAAAATACTTTTTAAAAAATAACAAAACAAATGTATGATCAGCCTTTTGACATAAAAATGTTTTGATATTCATGGTTTTCCCCTGGAGAGATTCTGAACACACAGTTAAAGCACAGTTTGTTTTGAGCCTTTGTGATGCTCAGGTCTCTGCAGCAGAGTGGATCGTGAACTACAGCCACGTTCGTGCTGTGCAAACAGAAATGCCTCAAAAACATCGCACTATCTCCCGAAGTTAGCTTTTGCCTTTCTTTCCTGCATTTCAAATGGCAGCACAATCCATCTTGGTTTCTTTGAAAGGAATGTGACAGTTTCCAAATTAATCATCCACCTCTATTCTCATTAGTGTGGTTAGCACCGAGGAAAAGATTGCATAATCACTGCTCTCCCGTGCCCACCCCTGGAGGTGCAGGTTCCCTTCCAGCTACACCTTGAGCCTTCAACATGAGAGGCTGCAGGAGGGCTGAGGCTCTCACGTGGGTGCAGAGCGTTGCTGTCGGTCCATGGTGTTAGAGTTGATGTCTTTTGTTTTGAAATCTTACAATAAAATTTCTCCAGCTTTAAGCATTTTCATTCAAAGACTTGGTCATTGTTAGATGTTGAAAGTGGTTGTCTGCCCGGCAGCTGCACAATAGGGATAACTAGAAAACGTCCTGTTAGGCACAAGTCCTAGGGCGATGAGGGAGCATATAATTGGGTGCAGAATGCCAGCCTCCTGCCTGCCGCTGCACTGGCCCTCTTTTGTCTTTTACGATCCTAGGGTGGACCTAGGGTCTCACTCTTGGTAGCAAATGCTCTGCCACTGACCTCTCCCTCCAGCCCATTGTCTGTCACTAAGAACACAGCATTGGGCCAGCAGCAAGATGGCTCCACGCATAAAGGTGTTTTCTGCCAAGACTGATGGCCTGAATTTGACTTTTGGAACATACTTGGTGGAGGTAGGGAACTCACGCTAGCATGTTGTCCTCGTGTGCATGATGGCACAAGTGTACCCACATACAGATAACTAGATGTGAACCTACTGACCGTCCACGCCTAAGAAGCTTCCGAAGGAAAGGATAGCTTGCACAGGGTTCAGAGAACAGCTTGGAGAGTTGGTTTTCTTTTCACCTTAGGGTCTCAGCGAGCTTGGTGGCAAGTGCCTTTACTCACTGAGCCCCCTTACTGGCCCAGCGTTCCCTTTTTGTTCTCTTCAGTTCTTCCAGGAGTGCAGGGGGCTGACTCAGAGGTCAGCAGGGCAGTGGGAAAGTGTGTGGGAGGGAGGTTAGCATCAGCAGTACGGCTGAACAGAATTGCTTCTTCATGCAGTGGAGGGCCTAATGGTGCATGAGGCTTGAAGAGAAAGGTTATCTGGGTCCTCTGCAAAGCAAAGGGAAGAGAAGCAGGTTTTAGGTACTTTGACTTACAGTTTTAGCATTTATAGGAAAGGCTTTATTTTCAGAAAGGACTAAGCTAATGTAGGGCTTTTAATTCATTTTCCCTGTGTTAATCAGTATATTGGAGCTGGTAATTCAAAAAGGCATGTTCTCTTCATAATTACTACTATTGTAGCTTTGACAAACTGTTTATCTGTGCGGTACAAGGCATGAATTTAGTCTTTTCTAAATACCACTATCCCCAAGTTATTGTGAAAAAATTTGGACCTTCTGAAGAGTTGGGAGCAGAGTGTGGTGAGTGCCTCCCTTTAACTTAGACCACTAGTTGTGAACGGTGTGCATATTTGCTTTCTCTTTAATGTGTATGCATTCTGGGTTTTTTCTTCAGCTGTACCTGTGCCCAGATGATTCCTAACCAGTGACATTTTCATGTTTCAGACCTTTTACTGTAAAATGCAAAATGTTACATGCTTTCCATATCCAAATATCCTCAGTTGTCTTTAAAACTTAGTTTAAAACCTTTTTAAAAAATATTTATTTATTTATTCATTGTGTATACAATATTCTTTCTGCGTGTATGCCTGAAGGCCAGAAGAGGGCACCAGACCTCATTACAGATGGTTGTGAGCCACCATGTGGTTGCTGGGAATTGAACTCAGGACCTTTAGAAGAGCAGACAATGCTCTTAACCGCTGAGCCATCTCTCCAGCCCCCAAAACATTTTTTTAAAAACCCTAAGATCCAATTAGGAACCACAGGAAGTTAGGTGAGAGTTCTAGGACACAGAAAACTGTCTTGAAAAAGAGAGAGAGAGAAAGAGAATCACATGGTACATGTATCTTCCTCATCTACTCACACCTTGCCTCTCCCCTTTTGCTAAGAGGAGAAGTTGACAGGTTTTGGCTGTTTAGAAAGAGCATCTGTTCTTGTCTTTTGATTAGATTCATGTTGAATATTTTCCACCAGAATCAGCTTCACAGGTGATACTATGCCTGCGGCGTATCTCATCAGTGTGGCCTGTGATCATTTGGTGAGATGAAGGTCATTTCCCATTGGAGTAAGTAATTTGTGGGGTGATACTTTCAGACTGAATATCTGTGTCCAGGGAAACCTTTAATCATTTAATGAATCCTTTCAATTAGAATATTTAAAAACTGCATGCCGTTTCAATTAAAAATGCTTAAAGGACAACAAACCTGGATATCCGGTCTTTGACGTCATACACCTAATTTTATACCTTAACTCAGTTCAGGCTGGAGAATGGCCCTTGCTCTACAAGCATGACTGCTGCAGTTTGGACCCAGGAACCGCTGCACATAGGTGCCAATAACCCCAGTGCTGTGGGGGCAGAGATAGGAAGGAGGCTTCCCGGGGCTTGCTAGTCTTTCATCATCCTAGCTCCTGGTGGGAAGAAGCTGGCAGGTAACAAATAGCACGGGACTCCCGACGCCCTCCTGTGGCTTCTGCTTACACAGGCACACACCTACACAGATGCTCACAGTGAATTGTAGTGAGTCATTTGCTCCAGGCCCTGTGTGAGAAAAGTATGGTGGGCAGGGTTAGGCTCCCATGATCCAGTGAGCCTGCTTCCTTGCTTCCCTCCCGGAAGTCACTTCTTAATTCATTGCTTCTTCTGACCCATGCTTGTTACTTCTGAGTGTATGTTCACAGGCATTAAGTAGTATTACTTTGCAGAGCAAAATACAGTTATCTGTTTTGGCACATTATGAAACAACTATATAAATTGCTTTTCATGCAGCATGCTTTTTGATAGTTTTGCGTTTTTATAATTGAATGGTTACAGTATCCCGTTGTGCAAACACTCTGACTTCCGCCTTATGCTGTAATGGGATCCGCAGACATTTAGGTCCCAATATTTTGTGAACTGGAGTGCTGATTATATATACATATCTCCTTGGTGAGACATATGCCATGTAAGAGGGCTTCTGCACATTATGTAACCAGAAGTGGAAATCCTGCTTGAGAGGTTAAGAACCCTTTTTTGCTAGACATTGCTCTTTTTTTTTAGTGTTTCCCCACTATACTCTTACCTGCAGGGTGAGAGGTCTTGTATTTCCACACCTCTGATTGTTACCAATAATGTGTGTGTCTGTGTGAGTGGAGAGCGAAGATTAGTCTTAGATGTCATCCGTTTTGAAACGGAGTCTCACTGGCCCAGAACCCACAGGTTTAGGCTAGCCTGGCTAGTAAACCCCAGAGTTTTCAGTCTCTGTCCCCGCACTGGAACTCAGGGCCTCATGCTTGTGTGGCAAGCACTTTGCTGACTGAGCCGTCTCCCCAGCCCTAATCGCTGGTGGATGTAAAGTGATGTCTCGGTTGGTTTGGGTTGTGCATTATTATAGCTATTCTTTCTACTTGTATGTTTAATTTTCCCCCCTTGTTGGATGTATTAGGGTTTCTCTTGCTGCGATGAAACACCATGACAAAAGGCAAGTTGGGTAGGAAATGGTTTAGTTGACTTCTATTTCCATATCATTTTTCATCGTCGAAGGAAGTTAGGACAGGAACTCAAGCAGGAGGCAGGAGCTGATGATGCATAGGCCATGGAGGGGTGCTGCTTACTGACTGATTGCTCAGCTTGGCTTGCTCAGCCTGCTTTCTTATAGAACTCAGGACCACCAGCCTAGGAGTGGCACTGCCCTCAATGGGCTGAGCTGGGCCCTTCCTATTGATCACTGATTAAGAAAATTCCTTACTACTGAATTTTATGAAGGCATTTTCTCAATCAAGATTCCCCCCCTTTGATGACTAGCTTGTGTCAATTTGACATAGAACTAGCCGGTACAACTGACCCCTTGTCAACTTGACACACAAAGACATCACTTTTCAGTTAGAACCTTTCCTTTTTCATTTAGCCCCAGGATGGACTTAATATTAATATTATAATATCAAACATAAATAACTTTAATGTCCAATAGTCCTTACAAATTTAATTACATTAAAAAGTTTAGTCTCTTTAAAATATCCAATCTCTCCTTTCCCTCTCCCTTTGTTTGTCTCTCCATGTAGCCTTAGCTGTCCTGGAGCAGTCTTCTCTGTAGAGAAGACTGGCCTCGAACTTGGAGATCCATCTGCCTCTGACTCCTGAGTGCTGGGATTGAAGGCGTGCGCCACCACACCCAGTTTAAAATAATCCAATCTCTTTAAAAATCCAAAATCTCTTTTAAAAGTTCAAAGTCTCTCAACTCCTGTGGGCTCCTGTAAAAATCAAAATTAATCCCCCAGATTCAAGGCTGGGCAAGGCATCCCAGCATGAGGTTCCCAAAAGCCATCTCAAGCGCCAGGGACAGGTCCTGATCCCACTGTTAGGAGCTCCACAAACAGACCAAGCTACACAACTGTCACCCACATGAGTCAGTCCCATTCAGGCCCCCTAGATGTCGGTTCAGAGACTGTGAACTCCCTCAAGCTCAGATCGATGCTGGTATATTTTTAATTTTTTTAATTTTATTTATTTATTTTTGGTTTTTGAGATAGAGTTTCTCTCTGTAGCTCTGGCTGTCCTGGAACTCATATTGTAGACCAGGCTGACCTCAAACTCACAGCCTACCTCTGCCTCCTGAGTGCTGGATTAGAGGCATGCACCACCAAGCCCAGCTGATGCTGGTCTAATTTCAATCACTGCTAGCTTCTCAGCTCCA